CATTGCTCACCATACCATCGTATTGCTCTGTCTCGTCAATAAGCTAACTACGCCATCCCACCCCTAATCGCCTCTCTGGTCATCAAACTTAATTACCTCTCTTTCCTCGTCTTCTTTTCCAGTCCAGTCAACTGGTATCCAGCTGCAATCAGACTTTCGACCTTAACACATATCTGTGGGACTTACGCCGACCATTTTTACCATACGCCTCTTTTGAAGGACACAAAGGTGTTGTCACATGTAAGTGTGTACATCTGCAGAAGAACCGTTGGTTTGCACACCAGACTGTGACTGTCTAATTAATCTACCGCATGCTTATTTCTTTTTTTGGTTTTGTTTTGTTACACAGGACGTCCTAGTGCGAGATCCAATTTCTGCAACCGTTTGATTATAGGGTAAAGCATACTATCATGTTCAAAAAGCCGTCTCTGTCTCTCTGACTGATGCCGTCGTTTCAGCGACAACCAGGGTGAATTATTCAATGCTGTGGATGAACACGAAGTTTTATTAACCAAGCTGTAAAGTTGAAGCAATCGAGTCTGGCCCCGCCCCCGGCGGAAATTATAGGATATATATATATATATATATATCAAGAGAGAATGGAGGTGTACACTAAGTTGTAAAACGTTTATTGTAACGTTTCAATCCAAACTAGGACTCATTGTCAAACGTAAATGAAATGAATGAAATAATGGGATTGCCGTCTTTCCGTGCGCCGGTGTGCTGTTTGTANCTGTTTGTACATCTATTAGTCCACCAATCGTAACGCGGGTTTTGCCAATGTGACGTAATGTTTCCCTATCTCGACGTGTCGGTTGAACAAACTGACCCAGTGCACAGCTTCGAGGATTAATCGTTCCAGAAATTGGAAGCATAGTTTTCCCGTAACGAATTTGATAAAAGAAGCCAAAAGCACAGGTTTGCACAATGTATCCCCTGGATCATTTCGCTGCATCTGTACACATGCATACTGCAGTCTATGTGATCATTAACATATGGTCAGTAAATAATAGAATCATAGGCGGAGAAAGATTGCGGTCAAAATTACTCACCAAACACATTTGTTGCCAAGGTAGCACCAGAGTGATGAGCCATTCACGCAGTTTACACAATTTGGGATGGTAATTTTGAATGGCTAATATCTCGGCGTATTCTACAGGGCGCAGCTGATTTGCGCAACGGATACATTGGATGGCAAATATGACAAGATCCGAAAAGTTTTACAATCTAACGGATATCCGAAAGGACTCATCTTAAAGCACTCCCAACCCAACCCTACTCGGGAAAATACACCAGGTGCCGATAAGTTGAGAGTAGTCCTGGAACTGCCCTTCAAAGGTGACGATATCAGCTGCCTAATTATCGAGTACCGTTAAGCGCACCTACTACGCAGCCGACCTCGTCGTTGTTTTTACAACCGCCCGGTTGCAAATACCATCGGTGAAAGAACCGCCAAATCTAATTGTATCTATCAGCTCAAGTGTGGATGCTCGGCTATCTACATCGGTAGAACGTTACCGAGTAACCGAGCACGTCACGGTCTGGCTTCAGACAACAATGAGTGGGAACTTTGGAGGTATGAGGTCACCAATGACGCGTAGGAAACTCAGTTCGGCGATCACACAACATCTGGTCGAAGTGAAACACTCATGCTGCGCGACGCGTTCCGAATCCTCCAAAACACAAACACCAAGGTTCTGAAATACACCGAGGCATTGGCCATTCAGAATTACCATCCCAAATTGTGTAAACTGCGTGAATGGCTCATCACTCTGGTGCTACCTTGGCAACAAATGTGTTTGGTGAGTAATTTTGACCGCAATCTTTCTCCGCCTATGATTCTATTATTTACTGACCATATGTTAATGATCACATAGACTGCAGTATGCATGTGTACAGATGCAGCGAAATGATCCAGGGGATACATTGTGCAAACCTGTTTTTTTACTTCTTTATTCAAATTAATTGTTCCCTCTTCTTCTTAGCTCGCGCCACAACCTTTGCGTTATAGTGTGATGGAAGGCGGTTCAAAGAGAGTCCTGGCTAGCGACCGAAGCAAGAATGGGGCCCATCCGACCAGACGCGCAGACGCAGCGGCGGGAAGTGCCTCGCGAGACAATGTTGACTGCCACCCGAAACGAGTGAATCGACAATTACAGCCCGA